AGCCCAGCACTGCTGCTGGAGGACCTCGAGCCCAGCTCACCACAGCTCACCTCACTTAGGCAGGACCGCCCAGGCCCTCCTGCCTCTGCTGCACTTGTGAAGGGCAGCTGGCCTCTTGTCCCAGCCACTGGAGATGCTGGGGTCGGGGGGGTGGCCTCTGGCCCAGACATGGGGCGGGGGGTGCTCTGTGGACTCCACCACCATTGCCCATATGGGCACTCAAGCTCCTGAGCACCTGCTCTGGTCCAGGCCCCGTGGGAGTTGTAGGGCACAAAGGTGAGGACTAGTTGTGAATGGAGGGCCAAGCAGGTGGGGAAGATGGTCAGCAGCTATCGCATCACTGGGGGGGTCACAGCCAGGGCAGCCCCCCAAGGATGAAGGCTGAGGGAGCCCACAGCAGGGAAGCGAAGGGCTCCTCCGTGCAGAGGCCCCCTGGACAGTGGCGTCTCCAAGTGCAGCCCATGAACAGACTTCTCTGACTCTTAAAGCCTGCTAGAAAGGCAGGGTCTGCTCACCACCCAGAACTGCTGAGGCAGAATCTGCATGCTAACGGGAGCCCAGGTGCTCTCCTGCACTTGTGTGAGTGAGAGGACCTGGCTTCAGAGATGACCTTGTCATGCACTTTGCAATGCAGTGAGGAAGTCACACAGGTTCGCTGTGACTTTTGCCACAGAACTCCCAGCAGCACCAGTAGGAGAAGAAGGTCATGAGCCTGCTCTCCTGCAGCTCCCAACACTGAGCTGGGTGGAGGCTGGGGGAGTCTGGAGAGAGGGACCCCACAGTACCGGAACAGCTGCACCACAGACACGGACATCCTGTGGCTGGGCGGAAAGCGCAGGACAGGAGCACCAGGCCCCCATGGACAAGTCCTGCCGACCCGCTGGAAGGGGACTCAGGCACTCTGCAGTGAGGAGATGTGCCTGGTCATCAGGCCCGGGCAGGGATCGGCCACAGGAAGAAGGCAGGGGAGCCAGGCAGTGAGGCTGGAGAAGGCCAGACGCTGACATCAGTTGCCAGGCTAAGTCGGAGGAATCATAAAACCCCATGCCTGGGATGTGGCCTAGAAGTCACTTGCCTCACCAATTAGTCAGACCCCAGACCCCAAGATGGGTAAGGGGCTGCAGTCATCCACCAGGGGGGCAGGGCTCGGCAGCCTCCATCCTGTGGGCAGAAACCCACTCCTTGCCGTCAAAGTGGAAGCTCGATTTCACTTACCAATCTTAATTGAGTCCTCGGACTCAAGGGTAAGGAAGTAAATCCCCAAAACCGAAAGAGCAAGCTGCACAGTGTTTCTTATAGTGTGAAAGAGCACAGTAAACTCGGTGGTTTGCTAAGAGATTACGGTAAGAGAGTAAAGACTTACACATCCCCAGGAGCATGCAGCCCCTAGGCACCGAGCCACCTAGAAAAGACAGTCCAGGAGCACAGTTTCTGCGAGGGCACCTAAATAGAGAACAGAATACGGTCCAGGCGCCCATGTCAGCCACGGCAACGGAGGGGCTCCACATCATAGCCACCAGGCCAGGTGCTGTCAAGCCTGCAGCTACACACAGTACATAAATAAGTTCCAGTAAGACTTTATGGGGAAAAAAAAAAAAAAAAAAAACAGGTGGTAAGCTGAGTTTTGCTTTAGGCTGCAGTTTGCTGACCCCTGATACCTTCATTCACATCTATTAGTTTTAAATGCAAAAAAAAAAGCTTTTGGAATCTCCTGCATGTCCAACGCTTGAGCTATAATAGAAAAACACCGTGACTGTCTACATTTCTTTAAGTTTATTACTGTAGGGGGCACAATCCCATCAGTCCTCCTTAAACTACCCTCCCCGAGCCCCCACAAACACACACTGATCCCGTCACTGTGGTCACTGTTGCTGTGAGCAGCTCCGAAGTCCTCTTTCACGAGTGTCTTTTCAAAGTGAGAGCGGACACGCTGTGAACGCTGTGGCCAAGGGCCGCCCGTGGGAAGCCGGGCTGCAGACACAGTCGGGGGCCCTCACCCGCTTTATCTCCGAAGCACAGCACCGTGAGGCTTCTGGCTCTTCCCAGGCCAGAATAACCACGGAAGGGTCAGTGCAGGACACTGAAGCCACAATAGTACAACTAAAGACACTCAGGAAAGAGGATTCCAGGGCTGCTTCACAGAGAATCAAGAACGGGGCCGGGGCAGAGCTCAGCTGCATGGCACTGCCTGGTAAGTGTGAGGTCGTGAGTTCGATTCCCAGTACAGAAAGAAAGAGAGAAAGAAAGAGGCAAGGATGATGGGCTGAGTGTGTTCAAAGTGAGTGGAAGATTTTGAGAGGCGTCAAGGCAATGCATTTTTTTTAAAGTTTGAACATTCACTGTATATTTTGATCACAGCATGTAGGAAAATAATTTAAGAAGTTAAGGAAATCTGATTCACTCCATCCACAGCAGCACGTGTCACACACTGTTCTGGGAACTGAACCCAAGGGAAGAGTGATCGAGAAAACACACTGAGTTAAAGAGATACCACTAACACTGTACAACTCTGTAGTAACACGAAAACCCCTTATAATCCGCCTGCAATGCAAAATCCAGAAGTGTGCATAAAAGCGAGACCAAACCATTTTTGTACTACAAGAGAAACCACAGGGGGAAGTCACAATAAAAGAAACACATCAAAATGTCACAAGTTGTTTCCCTTTGGCTGGCTGGATTACTCCTCTGTCTCTCCCTGAATTTCCCAACTTCACTGTTTGATTCCGTGTCACTTGTATAACACACGCTCCTCCCAGCGGAGCCGGAGGGAGAAGCTGGCTTCCTTTGTAAGTCAGCGAAGGCCCACGCGCCTCCTGCTCCCCCTGCGGGGCCCTCTGTCGCCCAGGCTGGCACTCAGGAAAGGCCAGGCTGTTTGCGGCTGGCACAGCAATCAGCACCAGGGACAGAGGCAGGAGCCAGGCTGGGCGGGAGCCCCAGATGGGAGCCCCGAGAGCAGGCAGCTTGCTAAGTCCCTTCTAAGGCACAGGTAGCACTTGTCAGAGCAGAAGTGAGTGTTGCCCCCACCCCAGGGCCCCGCGGATGCAAATGGAACCAGCACCCCCTCCGCGTGTGACCCGGCGGGGGAGGAGTGTTGGTTAAAAGGGAATAGAAACAAATAGCAGCACAGATCCCTTTACCCACATTATTAGCTTGTGAGAGACTCGCAAACATGCCAATACCAGTCACAGCAACATCTGCTTCTAATTGCCTCTGCCCTGGCATTTTCGGAGCCTGTCAGCTGGCGTCTGCCCTGGGAGGAAACCCGATATTTTTAACAAACTCTGTAAGTCAGATGGCATCCGTGGTGAGTAATTTCTTAGGGGTTTGTGGCTAAAATCAGGGTGCACCAGGAGATGTGGCCATCAAGAGGGGCCCGATGACCAGGCGGTCCCACTTCAAATGCCATGACTGTTCTCCAACTTGCACGATGCACTCAAACGTTTCCTTGTGTTTATGGTGCATTTACGCCCTAAATATAAAGCGTTCTGTTGTGTGGTGATTTGGGGGGTTTTTTGGTGTTTTTTTTTTTTTTTTAATTCCACTGTGTCCACTTCTTCCTGGGTAATTTTCCTCTCTTCTCCAAATACCTTTGCCAAGGAGGGCCCTTGTGGGTGAGCTTTTAATGGGTAAATGCAGCTCTGCTGCTGCTTTTGAAGCACCCACCTCGCTCCTGACAAGCACCCATCTCCCTGCTGAAGCACCTGGAGTCGGATCTCCTCTGCGGACAGAACGTCCCATTCTCTCTAAAGACAAGGGCCTGCGTTCTAGCTGTCTTACAAGGCGAGCAGGCAACCCGTCGGCAGCCTTCCAGGAAGGGCCACCAGGACACCTGTCCCCCTTCCCCAATCGCACAGCCTGGCTAGGATGGCTCAGGAGGCCGCTGGCCGCTCTTGCACTGCAGACATAGCAGGGTGAGGCCCTGGGCCCCGGGACCCCAAATGGAGGACACGCTGGCTTCTGCCCGCTCCTCCCGTGGTCAGCCTGGGTGCCGGCAGCACAGGGAGTCTCGAGCTCTCTGGGGCACTGGGCTGCACCTGCGCTGGCCCACGCAGTGCTGCCTCAGGAAGTCACGGAGCCCCTGAGGCTCTGCTTGAAGACTCCCGGGCACCTCACTGTGAACCTGCAGCAGGGCTCTGTGCGCTGTGCTGGGTCAAGCTGGTCACCAGCCCTGCACACATCTGGCATCCGTCTCCCCTTCCCAAGGTGCACGCTTCATGGCTGCCATCCTCTAGGTCTGCTGACTGGGGCAATGGGCTGTTCTCAGAGTTCTAACAATGAGGTGTCTGCAGCAGACGCAAAGCTTTCCGCCCTGAGAGCTTACACTCGAGTGGAGGGATCCCGGCAAATCAGTCAGCGCAAAAAGCCCACAGGAAACAGACACAGTGGCTCTGTAATCCTAGAACTCTGGGAGGCTGAAGCAGGAGGATCACAAGTGCAAGCCCAGACTGGGCAATTCAGAGCCTCAGTGAGACCCCATATGGAAATAAAAAACGTGAGATATCCACCTTATATAGAAAAAAAATCACAGCACACCAGCTGTTAATAACAGGCACAGAGAGGTGTAATACAGCATAATGAACAGCAAGGAGTGGGGGCAAGGGAGGCCTCACCAAGAAGTGGACTCTGAGTAGCGTCCTACAGGAGGGAGGAAGCTAACTGTAGAGGAAATTGGGGGAAGGGCACTGCAGCACAGGAGTGGGAAGTGCAAAGGTCCTGTGGCAGGAGTGCAGAGGTGATCTAGGAAAGGCAGGCAGGACTGGAGAAGGGGTGAGGCGAGTACAGAAGATCATTTAGGCCTTGCATGCCACTGGCTCTTACTGTGATTGAGATGGGAACCGGACTCCTAAAAATCTCCCTTGGACGACAGGGAAACACTCTGGCTGCTGGGAGGCGCAATACCAGAGAGGAAACTGCTGCAACCCTTGCATCCAGAGACCAGGGCAGCTCAGGCCCCTGCTCTCCCACGGGGAAGCCAGCCCAAGGAGAAGGCAACTGATTACCTTGCCAGTCCTCACGTCCCAGGCCTTGATTTCAGAGCTGAAGCCTCCACACAAAAAGATGTTGTGGTCTTTCGGGTAAAATTTCAAGGTAGTGATTCTAAAGTCACTACGACCACTAAATAGCTGGGTTCCTGCAACGCAAACAGAGAGGAGACATTAGAAAACACGCAGGTCCTGCATGGTGCAACACGGATGCCACCTAACTCGAAGCCCCGAGCCAAGGACACTCCCCAGATGGACAAGACTTTGGAGAAGGTGACAAGACGCTCCTCACTCCCTGCTGCCCCAGGGCCATGCTGACAGCCCAGATCACATTTCCAGGAGAATTGGGGGTAATGAGCCACGCAGTGGCTCTGAGCCCACTTTCCAGCCACAGCAAGGTGTCCCGGTGAGCTTGGTAACATCTCGCAGGCTGCGGTCCACACGGAGGTTGCAGACTTTGGCGTCTACTGTAAAGGCAGATTTGCTGTAAGGTCAGGGTCACTAATCTTACAGCCACAGAAGGACATCGGGTGCAGGGTCTCACTGGGCTCCCTAGAGACAAGACAGCCCCAGTCCTCTGCGTGTCCACCTCGGCTGCTGTCAAGCGCCTGCAGCACTGAGGCACTGAGGTATGTGTGCACATGGACACACACAAACCGAGTGGCACACAGCTCTCTCACTGCCATCTCCCAGAGGTGAGCGGGATCGGCTTCAGAAACGTCCACCAGCAGGGCTCTCCCTGGACCCCAAGAGTGCTGATGTCGCTTCTCACCTCTCGCACCTAAGTGCCCAGGGGATTCTCAGACAGAGTCATTGTGCCACCTCTGTACGTGTCCTACGTGTCCCCAAGGGCTGTCCCCACCGTGCCAGCCCAGCAACACAGGGGAGGCTTCCCTCCGAGATGGCACCAGGGCTGCCACAGCCCAGCAGGGAAAGCCTGGACTGCCTCTGGCCCCCGGGACTCCTCCATGGGCCGGGGAGGGACAGCTTGGGTGAGATGCTAAGATCTCCAGATCACACCCCCTCCTCTCCCCTCCCCATGGACCCCAGGAAGCAGTGTCCGCACCATGGATATCCTGAAGCATACCCCACTCTGTGTGTATGACCTCCGCGCACCGAGGATGGGCCCGGGCCAGCTTCCCGGGAGAGGAACTGAAAGTCATCCATCAGTGCCCACCAGAGTCACAGCAGGGCACAACACAGATCCAGGCTTCCTGCAGCCGGACTCTCACATTCTGCACACCCTCCCTGCCAAGCCCTTCCACACAGATCACCAACACAGGGCCACCTGTGCAAAGATCACAGAGTGTGACCATTTCTAAAGTGCCACAATAGAACAACTTAAGGCAAGAATGAAATAATGAATATTTCAAATTATATTTTAATGTGCTGTTTACAAGCATGGTAGTAAGAATATCAACCTGAAAAAAAAAAAAAAGAGTATCGACCACCCTCTTTGAAATCATTAAGATGAAGAGTTACGGCGTTCTTAGAACGACAGAACTGAATACACTTCCATTGATGGAAACGTTCTGTAACTCAGGGATCTGAAAGCAGCCTAGCGCTACCTCAGTTTCCACAACCGAGCTATGTCCACACTGACAAGCATTCCTCCCGGGGACACGTGGACCAGAAAGCAGGATGCTCCCCCTAGACCCCAAGAGTTCATTTCCACTTCCACCCACCCAGGGTGAAGAGTTTCGAGAACATTTTACTAGTAAAGCTCCTTTCCTCGTAATGTGACATTTTGGCTTCTGACATCAATCAGAAGGGATCATTGTTACATCTCCTGTTTTTAACAGCCCACCTCCAAATCTGCAGCAATTTTCATAAAAGCATTTTTAAAAGCTTTGAAAAACACCAATCTTGAATTAAGGGTGTAGGTATTTGGATAGGTTTTTAACAAGTGACGCTCTTAACATCACTTTTTTGGCAAGAGAAAAAAAAATCACAAACAATAGAAGTGATTAAAATGATCTGCTTTCTGTGGGCTGGGTGTGGCGCTGGGGGAGAAGAATGCCTCAGCAGGCCTGAGGTCCTGGGTCTCATCATTAGCACCAAATAAATCTGCTTTCAAGATGTTCTCTCCTTCCAAGCACATGCTTTTTGGAAAGCAGTGACTCTCACCCTTTGTTAAGGCGTCACTTTTACCTTGATGGGTGATTAAGTGTGTTGGGTTTTTTTTCCTGTAATATCATCTAGGGACTTACAATTGGCAATCACTTGTCATCAGAGAAAACTTTGGAAATAGTTGACTTTTTGTAAATGAAAAATCTCTATCTCTTTAAATTGCATGAGGCTCTCAACTACTTTGCTTCAAGATGTAGGTGGCACAAAGGGCGGCTGCAGAGTCACACGGTCCACGTAACAAAGGGACTGCCCAGTGGGCCAGCTGTCCACTCCGAGGGGCAGGCACAGCAGTTGTGCTCTCTGCCTGCTGGGCAAAGGCGTTTCAAACTGGAGTCACAGGCAGGGTCTGCAGCGACACCGGGCTTGAGTTGAGAGGTATTACTCAGGACTCTAGCCAGGCAGACACTGAGCCCACACGCCCATCGGACCCAGCAGATTTTGGGATGCACACCAGAGCCAGGTGGCTGTGGGCCATTGGGACGCTGTGGGTGGTGACCGGGACATCTCCACATGGGGAAAGAGAGCACCATAACGCTGCACCCCATAGAATTCAGGGGACTCTGGAGAGCCAGAAGTCGCTGACCCCCAGCCACCAGCTCTCTGCTCATTCGGAATTCACTGCCAATCCTCAGACCCAAAAGGAAATACAAACTTGGTGCCTGGAAAACATGTTTCCCTTGGCTCCTTGGCCTGGAGCATATAACCATATGTTCAACATCACACACAGCCGTGGAGTCTTACATACATATACATTTTTTTTCAAAAAGTGCAATGATATCACCTTGCCAGCAAGGGGAAGAAGACAAGAGGAAAAGTTGAGTTACTAAAAGAGCATGATTGAGATTCTTCTGTTTAAAAGAAAATTGCATTCCTGAATGTTATGTTTCCTCAACTCCCAAAGAGACTGAGAGTCTGTCTTTTAAGTGTGAAAATTTTCCATTTAGAAGACAAGCTGTAGTATTTTTTTTTTCTTCCTATTTTAATAATTAGGCCTTTACTATTTTTCTGTGCTAACAGGGCACAAAAGCAAAAGATTTTTAATAGGTTTTAATAAGCTGCTGGGTAGCTCCCAAGAACCATCAGGGCAAATTTGGGGTAAGTAAAGAGGTCTCGAACAAGACTCAGTTCAGGGGTCACTGGCAAGAGTAGAGGTCACTGGGCATCGTGTTTAAGGCAGGGAGGGACAGCTGAGCAGTGACGGCCACGCAGACCCGGGTGCCCGCCCAGCCGGTCACTTCCCTGGAGGGCCCTGGGCCAAGCCCTTCTGGGCTGCATCTCACAATCCACAAAACTGGCAGCCTACTGGCACCAAACCTCTCTGCAGAGAGCAACAAAGAGGAGCGGGCAGAGCTTGGAAAATTAAACCCAACTTTACTGAGTGCATCCTTGGTTAAATTAAAAGCTAAACCCCAGGGGTAGCAGGCTTGAACAGCAGGAACCTTCAGACATGAATGGCAGCTGGGCTGCCGGGGAGGCTCTGGGGACAGCCTGCCCGGGCTGGCCTCAGCAGTGGTGGCAGGAACCCGGAGAACGGCTGAGAACCGTCCTGGCAGCCCACCCTCCTCCGTATCCTCTCCCCATCCTAGCGAGGCTTCTCTGAGCAGTGGGGAGCTGGCACGGAACCTTTCACCTTGCTACAGTCTCTCGTGTTTGTCTGCGAGCTGCAGAACGTTCTGCTTATTCACTGTATGCTTATTATAGGAAATGGAGCTTTAAAACATTTCATCCTCGGGAACTGGCTTTATTGATCGGATTATAATGAGCTCAGCCAATATAAAAACCATTTGGATCTTCTTGGACTTAAGAAAGATTACATCTTTTCCTCCTTGAATCAATAATGATACAAGTAAAAAATAAACTATCAGACCGAGAGGTGGAACTCCTCCGTGGAGCACTTGCATTGCATGCGTGAGGCCCTGAGTTCAATCCCCAGCCCCACAGTAAATAAAGTACCACAAAAAATGTGCTTAAAATACACTGCAGAAATTCAGAGTATTCCCTTGACACCCCCATCCCTGCCAATACTGCCCGTCTCCAGGTCCCTCTCTCAGGTAGGGCCCCCAGGTCAGCACCACTGTGCATCCTAACATCTGCCTCGGGGGACCTCATGGTCCCGAGGACTCCAGGACCCTGACACCCTCTTCTTCCGCTCAGGACATCTGGCCCCAGCCCGGTCCCTGATCCAGAACTGCCGTCTCAGGTCAATCAAAACCCAGGCGCAGGTCCCAGGAAACAGGGGGTGCACATGTCCTGCTCCTGTCGCACTCCCCCTGGCTAATGACTCACAGTTCCTGGCTGCCGCTTGCATGTGTCACCTCACAGCCCCAGGGTGGGGGACATGAGCCCGACTCTCACAGCTGGGGAACCGGAAGCCTGCGAGGTAGGGCAGTGCTGGGACGGACCCTCCTGCCCCCATTGAGACCCCCTCTGCACCCCCCCCCCCGCCGGGCAGGCGTGATCTTTCCCTCTCAACTCCCGAGCGCGTCCAGAGCCTCACAAACATGCAGGGAAATGTTGACAAGGGAAAGCTTCTGGGGCCGGCTCGAGGTAATCGAGCCCGTGTTCCCAGGCAGCAGGCGTATGACTCATTCCGCTAAAATCAATATCGTACACTCATCCTCTGGGAAGTATTCAGCCAGCTGTAAATTTAACCACCCTGACTCAAAGTTAACGAGGAAAAAAAAAGCTTCCTAACTTTCAAATCAAACTCAGCGTATCAGAAACCAAGGCCATCTGCGCAGGTGTGCCAGGGCCAGGGAGGGTGGGGGGCTGGCCCTTCCAGAGCCCAGGGTCCACAGCGGACAGTCCGGGTCAGGATGCCACCCTCAGAGTGGCTGGGAGGAGGACGGGCAGTGCAGGAACATGGAAATCCATCAGCCGGCAGGGCGCGGTGACCAGAGGCTGTGGCAACAGTCAGGGCCCACGATGGGGAGAGCAGCTGTGTGCACCACGACATCCATCCGGAGGGTCAGTGCAGGCAGACATCACCTGCTTCCCCTCCCGTCCCTTCTCTCTCCCC